TTGTGGGGACCTCTAATTGACATATTTGACCTAAACCATGAAAAATACATTCCTAACCCTCAACTTTACCCTAAACCTAACCATAACCCATCCCTGACACTAAAACCACATTTTGAGTCTCAAAAATGGCTTCAAACCCATGAGGACAGGCACTTTTGTCCTCACAAGTGACTGTTGGTCCCCACAATTGGTGGGCCCCACAAAGATGTCTAAACAGGTACACACACACACACTCACAGAAACACTCCTGTCTATAGAGTCACAGCCTCAAATTAGAGGTGTCCTTTACAGGCACTATGTGTTTGTCAGACTCTCTGATCCTTCTCTCACACCCAGCCGTACCTTCTTGGTCGCAGTGGTAGCTTCAGTCTTGCCAGACAGACAGAAATGAAAAGGAAAAATACAAAAAAGAGAATAATCACACAATAATGTGCAGGAGATTTAAAACACAAAGTACACAAACACAGGGCTGTGTTTTTACCTCATTATTATTATTATCATAGCAGGTAAAAATAGGGTTTATTTTGGGTGGGCTTTTGTAATGTCAAGTGGATTGGGTAAGGATGAGTGGGTGATTTTAATAAAAGCTTTTACTTTATTGCCTCTGGTTTATTGGGATGCTACAAGGGACGCAGGAGGACACTGACATTGAAGGTAGGAGTCCAATGTTTCACTGCTGTCTGCTAAGATACGCTGCTCAGTGCCTTCTTTTTTTGGCAACTCATATAATAAATGATATCCGATATTAGCATACTGCGAGTGAGGCCTTATGCCTCCCAGTGTTTATTTAAAGCCCCACAGAAAACATATACATACTATGCACTTAGACAAACAACAGCTGCTATATGTTACCTGACAAAATCTGAAGAATATGGGCTGGATGCCAGATTTGAGCAGAATAAATGCTTGTCGACTTCAAATACACAAAGAAGCCATAATTCACATGCAAAGTGTCGTTACAGGGAGGCCAATCAGTGCTCTTAGTTTTGTAAAAAGGCTCCCAAAATTTCAAGATACCCAGGAGGTAGAAGAGAGCACACAAAATGTTTTTCATCCTCTGTTATTGTGGCACGCTCCGTAAATTTGTTTTAATAAACAGAAACTGTAGAATAAAGCCGCGTCAAATGGGAGATGCTACAAATGAAATAGATTGGTAAATATATAGCACCTTTCTAATCTAACTGAGCACTCAAAGCGCTTTTTTTATTACAAGGCACTACATTTAATATTCGAGGCATTTAAGCACTTTCTAACCATCACTCACACACACACACACACACACACACACACACACACACACACACACACACACACACACACACGGATGCACTGACGACAGCTTAGAGTAAAGCAGACAACCTGCCTTACTTCCTGAGCTACAGCTTTGACTTACAGATATCTAAGTAGTAAATACAATTAAATAGACCAATCTTTGTCACATCTCTTTATTGTACTTTGAGCACATCATGCATTTCTAATGTAGAAGACACATTTCATACCTATCTATCTAGATCTATAGATAGATAGATAGATAGATAGATGATAGATAGATGATAGATAGATAGATAGATAGATAGATAGATAGATAGATATGATTATATGAAGTGTGACTGCACTTCTATGTTTGTACTCGTATTTCTATGTTCTATGTAATTCCTCAGACATGAGGAACCCTCTGCACACCATCACACTCACGATGAATCAGAGCTTCCATTATGAAATTAGAGGAGTTCAGGTGAGCACCCCCCCATTCAGCTTAGCATTATTTAACAGTTTCTTGCCTTTTTTTTTAATAGAACAAACAGTTTTGCTTGTCTATCCAGGTAGAGAGGTTAGGTCAATTGGTAACTCTGAATTGGCAATACATGTTTTGCATGTGTATATTAAGATATGTTCATTTTGTTCTTCATAATGTCCACTTAAAGCCTAAAATTTCACACATACTCTGTAGCACTGCTGCTTTTTTTGGCCAGTGAATTCAAAATA